ACGCGCCGTGACGCAGCAGCCAGCGGCCTCGCCAGCGTCAGCCCGGTGCCCAGGGCGGCCCCCGGCCGGTCGGGTGACCTTGAAGGCTCAGCCGCGCTGCAGGAGGGCAGCCTGCCTCCCCCTCCGCACCTGGCAGCGATCCCCCGCGGCTCGCTCGCTGCTTTTCTCCCGGGCACCGCGTCCCACTCGCAGCCCTCGGGACTTAACTGTTTCCGCCCTGCTTGCGAACGAAGGCAGGTGATCCTTGGAGGGACCATGCGGACGCGAAAACAGGCGGAAATCGTCTCTGCCACCTATCGTTTGCGTTAGCTTCAGCATCGGGAGAAGACACGCGGGAGGATTCCTGCCCGGGTTCTGATTTTTTTAACAAGCACACTTCCTTTCTTTGTTGTTTCTGTTTTCGAACAGGTAGAAGTTGCCTGAAGCTTCTTGTCTGCCGTAACGGACCAGTGAATTGTACCCTAACGGGATGGCAAGAGCAATAGGGAAACCTCGAAGGTAAAGGAGTCCAGCAGTAGCCTTAAACCATGGTCTGACTGCTGGAGAGCAGCAGGTGTGCTCTATTACCAAACGCAGGTTGTGCATCCCCGTTAATCTGACAGTGGAGCAAAAAGCCTTATATGGTATGACCGCAGTGGTTTGAGGAACGCCGAAGTAAGAAAGCACTCATTACGAGGCATTTGTTTAATGACTGTAATCACACGGAATTAATTTAACTTGCTGCAGTGTTTAACGGAAAGTCGATCATAAATTTGTGCTGGAAGAATCGCAGTACTGGTATTTGCATAGCACCTTCCTCCGAGGAGACATCCTCTGAAGATAATCTCATCTCCTCAGCATTTACAGAGCACTCAGAATGTGCTGAGTGCCTTACAGAACAATCCAGGACCAGCGTCTCTGAGGACAGGTGCTTATGATTCTGAGCCAGAATGACACAGACATACGGTATGAAGAGCATAGAGAGGATTGCTCCATTGGCCTATGCTAGGCATTCCGTAAGGATTGAGCAGGGTTTTTGTTTTTTCCTATTGATGTCCTACGAATTTTATTTTTCTGTTTGCTTCTTATCAGGTTGTCTTGACATGAATCCCACTCAAAACCAGCAGGAGGTCAAAACTCGATTAAAGAACTTCATCCATGCAATTATAGAATTACTGTGTTAGGGGTACTGTGAGTATTAAGATTAGAATGACTAGGAGTATTTAAATGAAGGACTGATTCTACTTTGTGGCGGTGGGTGGGTAGGAGGGAGCCAAAGGCCCATGCTGAGGGGTGCTCCCTGCAGAGAGGCCCAACATAGGTCTTTCCTTCCCATTCTCTCATCCTCTCATTAGAGAATCCAAGTTAAGAAAGTTCACCTTGCTACCTTCTTTCAAACTCTGTTACCAGGAAATGAGCCCCAAATGATACAAATAACCAGTAAGTTTTAGCATCATTCCTTGAAGGCACTTACATTTTTTGAGGAAAATAAAGCTTCCAAAAAGGGTATGGCTATCTATTGGGGCATTTTGAGTACTAATTCATTTCCGAGGGCAAGGAGGCCTTCATCATATGGTGGATCTAGGCCCGTGGTGCTGACCTTCCCCACAGTGTAGGTAAGGCTCGGCCTGGAACCTCCTAAAGCCAGCATGCACCATGAATGTGGGTGATCAGCACGGGTCACTGGGGCAGGCCAGAGAGACTCTGGCAACATCTCTCTCCCCCCCCAGGGCATGCCGTCTTTGCTTATGATTTATCTCAGGTCCTTGCCCACCAAGACAAAGTGGCTCAAGCACTGGTATTTTTAAAAAGCGCGCCTAGGTCATTAATTCTACCTAATACCCAAGATTGAGAACTACAGATTAGATTTGAAATGTATTCCTTTTCACAACATGTGAACCCATGGTTGGAAATTAAACATACTGTGTATATTTTAGTCGAATACCAGAAGGAAAAAATAAAAACGAATTCTTCAATTTGCCTACGTGTACTGTTAAAATTCTGTACTGGTCAATAAAAAGAAAATGATTTTTAATGGAGCAAATCTACATGGCTACGGTACACCCACATATCTGTGATGGGGGACAGCCACGTGGTCATCACACCCTCGTACAGCGCCTTGTTCCTTCCTCTCTTCCAGCGCTGGCCGCCTTGTGTTGAGACTTTTTGTTGACCTAGTGTCCTTTTCAGTGGGCTTGAGAGCTCTCTGACGGCAGGGGCAGGACACGCATTCATCCTGATGGCCCCCAATGCTTTCACTCTGCCTGGCAAGTGGTATGTCTTCGGTATTTGCAGAAGGAAAGCGGGAATGCTGTTAGAGAGGCAAGCCCAGAGATACCCAAATTTCGACAGAAGGACATCAGGCTTTCCTCTCATCGCAGACTCTCCTGAAATAGCATGCTTCCCAATGACTAAAAAAATGCTAATTCTCAAACAGAAGTACTGACTTAAAACCTCTGTAGCCAAGGATCTCTCAAGGGGTATGCATGTGTTTAGAAAAATGGATGATGTGCTTTATGACAATCAAAACCCTGTATGTATTTAATGACTAATACATTTCTCTTAATTTTAGGTATTCAGAAATAGAAGGCACACGTTTCATTTTTCTTTGCATTTTGCAGAATGAGGCCAGTGAGGTGGTGGCTGTCCACACCTTTGCTAGAAGTCTGCCCTCTCCAGCCTAGAAAAATCTGTTCCTAAGCTCTCTGGAAATCTCCATTTTGATACTTTTTAAAAATTTTTTATTTTATTTTTTGGGGGGGGCCACACACTCTCTGGCAGTCTTAGGAAGTTTGTGGATCACTTCTCAGTGCTTTTATAAGCATATGCAGTACAATAAACAAGATTATCAAGGAAACTAATTGTATTAAATATTCTAGCTTAAGAACTCTTGCCTTGGAAAATCCAAATACTTCCAAGGTGAAATTGCAAAGTGACTCTGATGGTCTCTGTTCCAACTTTTATCCAATAGGAAAACACGTTCAAGAAGAGCCTAGGGGCGCCTGGGTGGCTCAGTCAGTAGGGTGTCTGCCTTGGGCTCAGGTCATTCATTATTCCAGGGTCCTGGGATCGAGCCCCGCCCGCATAAGGCTCCCTGCTCAGCAGGGAGTCTGCTTCTCCCTCTCCCCTTGCTTGTGCTCTCTTGCTCTTTCTCTCTCAAATAATAAATAAAATCTTCAAAAAAAAAAAAAAAGAGCCTCGACAAGGTAAAAGGGTGGGAAGGAGACTAGATGACTGTATTTATTGAACTTCATTAAACTTCAAATCATGTTTCTTCTCAAAAGTGACCTTTTTAATGACTCGCAAATTCCCCATTTTCACATTTAAAAGAACACACTAGACTTTCCAAACCGTCACCTCGCATCATATGGACCCTTCCTAAGGCTTTAAAAAAAAAAATAACGTGGAGGCAATTTATTCTTTCATCGTTTTGTTTTACAGACAAGGGAGACAACTGAAGCTCAGAAAGACTGAGTCTTGCTTACGGCAGCATGGAAGTAAAGAGGCAGTACAGCCCGGGGCCCAAATCTCCTACACCTGCATCAGCACCCCCTCCTGGACATATCCGGTCACCCTACCAAACTACTGGCGGCTTGAAATCAACCACAGTGGGAATATTTACACCACAGAAATGGGCAAACGCTAAAATCAGGGTTGTTGTTTTCCCTGCGGAGAGCTGATTGATGTGGTGTGATATATTTAATTATACCAGCTTCTAATCACGTGTTCTTTCATTTCAACCCCAGAATCCAGAGTGCTTAATATGAAGCATAATGGTTCAGCATAAAGCTCTCAGTCACAGGGTCTTTAATCCTATACCACTGATTATCTGTGTGACCTTGGGCAGGCTCATTCCGCTGTCTGGGATTCAACTTCTTCTGTGAAACAAAGATGATAATACCGTGCACACTGGTTATGTATATTGGTGATCCCACACTCACACGGCTAAGCAACCAACGGCTATTAGCTGTGGTTATTTTCGTCTTCTTCCTCCTTCTCCTTTTCTGATTTAGTTGGTCATCATAGCAGATTGACATTATTTGCACTAGATAGGTAAGGATATTTTTAAGAGATTACAGACAAAGAGCAAAACCAAACCAAAAAAAAAACAAAACCCTGTACAACCAATTTGGGATTCTGGAGAGTGGAGGATTAGCCTGTGGTTCCTGACTTTTGTGGGTAAGAGAGACTGGACGGGCCAGTGTCATTTCTGCATACATTCTGTAATCTAAGGGAGCATCACAATTCAGCAGTGAAATTACTGAGGGACATGGCTTCAGCATGATTTTAGAGATCTTAGAGAAGACAGATTAGAAGCATACACTGTATTCAGGGTGTTTAGGCAAAGACCAAGATGCCGCAAAACATGCAATGCTGGGGCCTCTGGCCCCTGTAGTCACATAGCTCCCTTTATGAATATGTTTTCCCTTGTGGTTTCTAGTGGCCAATTTGCACATGTGCTGAGACATACTGTATTTTTCAGAGCTAAGAATTCCTCCCTTAATGAGACTGAGTTTTAGGGGAAGAGGCTTTGCCTGCAGGCTCAGGGGGACTTAGTCCACAGGAGCAAGGGGTTGGAATGTCAAGTTGGATCCCAAGTTGGCTCTGTCTGGAGGACTACAAGCCAGAGGGATGCCCCCTCCCCTTTTCATTGGCATTGGCATGCCCCTGGAATAGGTCCTACAGATTCTGTCCCATCTTTTGGGCTTCCCTGAAGTCAGAGTGCTATCGAACACAGGACTGCTGTGACAGGACGAGGGTAGAGAAGCAGCTTGGAAGAGGTGGGGCAGAACCACCCAACTTCCACTCATCCCAGCCCAACCACGGAAGAGCAAAAGGGGGACAATGTTATCACCGTGGTACCCTAGGTTCACATAAAATCCCAAGAGACTACAGAATGATGTCATGCCGTTCTTACAGACTCAGTGTTACAGGCAGTAAGGTCTATCGGCTCTAAGAAAGGACGGGTCGCCTGGCTCTCCTAGCCCTGCGTCCCCACAGGCACCACGTGGCCCACCTACTTCGGGCTTGCTCCTTTCCAGAGCTGAAGGTCCACTCCCAGAGAAGGCATCAGCTGGGACAACAGGAACCCTCGAAATAGCCAGGCTGTGGCCCAGGAAACATCCGCCTTCCGGTCCCTGAAGAAAAAGATGTTTTAACCCAAATACCAATGTATAATAACAGAACTGCAAGAAAGAAAAATAGACACAGTTTCCATTTATTGTTTGCCGTGTGCCAGGCCTAATCACAGGCTAACCTTCCCAATCAATAACAAACACATGCATAGGGCCTTCTATGGCCAGAGTTCCAAATGCTTTACATGTAATAACTTATTTAACTCCCGCAACAACCCTATAAGGAAGATATTCCCATACCAACTCCATGAGGTAGGAACTATGTCCCTTTCACAAATGAGAAAAGGGAAGCAGAAAAGGAGGAGTACTGTTCAGATCACACATCTGGTAAATACAGGCTTGTGCATTCAAACCCACGTTGTCTAATCTGGGTTCAAACTCAGATCTTAAACACTAATATTCAAACAGGGGATTCCTACAGATGAGTGTGTTCAGTTGTAACAGTCTTCCGGGGGCTTGGAAGAGCCTAAGAGAAAGGAGGGGAAAAAGAGAAACTAATCTTGGAGTCATTCAGGGAAGGGTTAAAAATCTAAGAGTCGGTCTCGTAAGAATTATTAGCAAAACAGGGTTTTCAGCAAAGCGTTCCTTTAAAGATATTTGAACTCCGTGGTATGCTAGTAAATTGGCTCTCTGGGGAAGAAAAGAATGGCTCGTAGTGTTTGCCAATTTCTGTGGTGTAAATACTCCCACCATGGCCGAGTTCAAGATTCCAGGAGTTTAACAATCTGTTTGCAAGATTCCTGGGTATTTAACAACCAGTTCTCAAAAGCCTGTAGGAGTTGGCTTCAGCACACGGCAATGCGGGCTCCAGGAGCGGCTTACTCTGCACCCTCCAGGAACCATATCATTTTATAATGCCTACAACATTCAAGGCGGACTTCATATTAAACGTGCAGCTCTGCGCTGTTCCAAGACCTTAGGTAGTAGTCTCTTTCCTGCTATCCCCCCCAAGCAATGTGTTTTTACTTCTTGTATTTCATGAAAGACGTTTTTACTTCTGTTGTTCTTGATTTTAAGAGGACGGTGAGACATTTATATTTCTCTTTCCTTGATCTTCTAGTAAATCTAACAAATGGGTGTGGCTTTTGGAGTGGGAATGACTCTTGGTTGGGTAAAAGCTTTCCTCCATCAATTGGTCAGCCTTTGGGAGACCTGCGAAACCCACAGATGTTATGTTTACATGTGCACGGGCATGCACACGCACGCACGCACGCACATGCATTCAACACTATTTTCTGCGAGCCCTCTGCCTCCTGGAGCACATCTGAACACACAGCCCTCACCAGTTTGGATCTGCACCTGTTCCCAACCACTTTCTCATATTTCAGCTGTGCACAATATTTTGAGGCCCCGACAGCCAGGCAAGTCACTTTGTAAGTACATGATTACCATGAGGTCATGATGTGAATTCAGACCTACAAATGAAATGGCAATTACCCTTTGAGAAACGATGTAACTCTAAGGATAATCACCATGTTCTGTGTAATTTTTTTTTTTTTTTAGATCTTTGGGGGTGCTAATTTGTAAAGCACATATAACCAAATGAATAATTATATAGCAAGGGGCTGAAGGCAATTACAAAATAATTGCATGCTACTTGATCCCTCCATGAAAACATGCTTAATAGAATGTTCCCCTACACTGTTTCTTATACCTGTGGAAGACTTTAAGGTTATTCTTTTTCCTTCGCTCTTTTGAATACTGTTGTTTGGTAAGATATACTAAAGTGTAGGCTCTAAGTGTAGGTTAGAAACGCAGTATAAAGCTTGATTTTTTCCCCTATGTTATATAAAGAAATTTATGAGAAATTCAATGCTTTATTATAAAATAGGCTTTGTATTAGACGATTTTGCTCAGCTGCAGGCTAATGTAAGTGTTCTGAGCACATTTAAGGTAGGCTAGGCTGAGCTATGATATCCAGTAGGTCAGGGTTGTTTGACTTAGGATATTTTCAAGTTATGATGGTTTTAAGTCGAGGAAGATCTATACTAGAATTACTCAAAAATTTTAAGAATACTATTAGATTAGTCTTTGGATTTTAAATAGCACTTCAGACTTTTAAAAACACGGTCATATGCAACGTGCATTTGTGTGCATCCCTCACAAAATGTTTCCATTCTCAGCTGAAAATTAATAAGCCTGGGAGAGAGAAGCTAAGTGATTTGCCCAATGACTTCTATCTCTTGGCTCAAAGATTCCCCACCTCCCCCCATGCCACATACATGCACTTTCTTACTTTTATCCTGATCTTTATTAGTTTCCATTCCTGAAGTAAGATGAGAAAGAGAGAGACAAAGGGAGAAGAAGCACAGCCACATTGGTTACTAGAATGAAATGGAGTAAGTTGGGGATACGTGAGACATATTTTGCAAGCCCGTACCGAAGCTAGAAAGAATCCCGCATTAATAAACACACAAGAAACTTGCCCCACTGTGTATTCTTCTAAAACAGACTGCACTGACGGTCAACTTTAAAAGCCAATAAGTAATAGTGTTGGATATCTGATGTAATTTGCTGAATCCTGTACTGAAAGTGAAAAACGGAATGGTTGTGTGTGTACAGAATGATTGTAAGCGTATTGGCTGTTTACCCTCATGATCGTGTGGCTTGACCAGGAGGGAGCGAAAGCTTGTTGCTTAATGCCCAGCATCACAAGGCAATATCATATCCCATATCGCTAGCCTGGGAAAAGATGAAAATTCCAAGTACAGTGTCTACTGATTTGAGTATCACTTTTGCACCATTGTGAAGCCAAAAAAAAAAATCGTGGTCAAACCATCATATTGTGGGGGCCCCCTGTAATCTAGAAGGATCTACTTGCATGCTGCTGCCCACCCCCTGCCCCCATTGCTCCCGGACCCTGCCTCTCACTCCATCCCGCCCTTGGCAGTTTCTTGGGCTAATCATGCTTTGCAAATGGTCCAGAATGAGAAACTACAAAAAGCCAAAGAAGTATCTGGTAGAAAAATTATTTCTTGTAGTTTAATAAGAGATTAATTACAGTTGACCTTTGAACAAGATGGGTTTGAACCGCATGGGTTCACTTAGATGTGGATTTTTTGCTGTCTTCTACTGTAAATGTATTTTCCTTATGATTTTTTAAATAACATATTCTTTTCTCTAGCTTACTTTATTGTAAGAATATAGTATATAATACATATAGCACACAAAATATGTGTTAATTGGCTATTATCAGTAAGGCTCTGGTCAACAGTAGGCCATTAGTAGTTAAGTTTTTAGGGAGTCAAAATTTACATGCAGATTTTTGACCACACGGGGCTGGCCTCCATGTTGTTCAAGGGTCAACTGTACTGTTTTACTTCTACTTTTAGGAAATTTTAGATTTTTTCCTTGAAGGATATTGTTTGCTCCAATCCACTGGATACAGAAGTGGCCTAAGAGCTAAAATTGGCCAGCACTGGAACTTTCCAACACCACCAGTGTTCTTAATAAACTGTAGGTGGTGGAGTTTAGAAATGTAGTTATATTATACTTGCAATGAAACTTGTGGTTTTCCAAGCCTTTGTGAAATGATCTACTTCCCAACTCCGTTGCCAAAGTGACTCAGGTCTCTTCCATATCCCTAGAGGATGTGGTGCTAGGGGATGACAACTACGGGAGTAGATGCAAACTGACAATCGATGATCTTTTCCCAGATTCTTCGTGTCACTAATGCTTATTCCACTGATAATTAAAAATGGAAAAGCCATTTTTTCATTTACTTTATCACTCAACATGCCTTTGTTTCCATAAGTTAAATACAGTCACAGGCACCAAAATTATTTAAGTATAAAAGATTAGAAATAGCTTTCTTCTGTGAAGCGTAATATAATGAGAAATTGAACAGCAAGCCAACAAAATCATTGCAGAGTTTAGGTTCGCTGTTTCATAGTAAATTAAAAGTGCTATTGATTTAGTAGGAGAACACATTTGTGAAAACTAGACTTCTTAACAGATTTAGGAATGTTTTCAAGATGCATATCAGAGAAATGAGCAGCCGTTAAAATACAGGCCTCCACCAAGCATCCCGTTGGTCAGCTCCTTTGACTTATAAAGATGGCTGCCACCAGGGACGGACTTGTATTTTAAAATTGCTGGGGATGTTCGACATAGTTGGAAATTGGAAAGGGTATAAATGGGAAGTGAGCAGGTAGAGAAAGCATATGTTAAATTTTCTTTTAAGAAGTGTGGTTAACAAGGACTCATTAGAAGTCATAGTTTAAAAGGTATGTATTTCTACAAAGGTGGTTTTGGAGGGCTATTTATTTAGGATGGAAACTTTTAAAATAAACTTATTGGCTGAGGAAAAAAGAATTGGTAGAAAGTGACAAGGTGAGGGCGCCTGGGTGGCTCAGATGGTTAAGCGTCTGTCTTCGGCTCAGGTCATGATCCCAGGGTCCTGGGATCGAGTCCCGCATCGGGCTCCTTGCTCAGCAGGGAGTCTGCTTCTCCCTCTCCCTCTGCCTCTCCTCCTGCTTGTTCTCTCTCTGTCTCTCTCGCAAATGAATAAATAAAATCTTAAAAAAAAAAAAAGTGACAAGATGGAAGTATAGGAGACAAAAGAGTCCATTGTTGGAGCTCCAGAAAGACATGGGACAGGGCCAAGAGCAAGGTGGAGGTGTTGGCCTTGAGCATCCTGCTTACCCTCTGGAACTGAAGTAAAGATGGTGTGGGTACAGGAGGATTTAGCAGTTCCCATTTGTCTGAATGTGGCTTCCAGAATTAAGAGCTGCAAATGCTGCAAATATGTTTTGATCAGAGACAGAGACTGTTATCTCCCCAGACATAGATATTGTGATACTATTAATGCAGTCCTAGACTGAATTAGCTTTTGGGGCACCTGGCTGGCTCAGTCGGTAGAGCATGTGATTCTTGATCTCAGGGATGTGAGTTTGAGCCGCATGCTGGGTGCAGAGATTACGTAAGATTTTATTTATTTATTTGTCAGAGCACAAGCAGGAGGAGCAGCAGAGGGAGAGGGAGAAGCAGGCTCCCTGATGAGCAAGGAGCCCGATGTGGGGCTTGATCCCAGGATCCTGGGATCATGACCGGAGCCAAAGGCAGACGCTTAACAAACTGAGCCACCCAGGCATCCCAAAATAAAATCTTAAAAAAAAAAAAAAAAAAAAGATTGAATTAGCTTTTTGAGACAATAAATCACTTTTCCTTGGGAAATAGTATAATATAAAGGAAAATAATAAGGGTTCTGGCATTAGGTTCAAATCCTGACCCACCTAATTACTAGCTATAGGATTTTGGTCAAGTTATAATTCTCAATTAAATAATAATAAATAATAATAATAATAATAAATATCCCTCCAAGAATTACCCTGAGAACCAAATGGGAGATAACTAATAGTAAACAAGCAGGAAATACATTATTTTGATTGCTATTACTACTCTTCTGGTAAATGAAAATGAGTAGATATTTTTATAGGGTTATTAAGAAACATTTCCCCCATCCTGTCTATGTACCGTTGATTTTTTTAGACTAAGGGGTAAGACTTTAACCCCACTGAGTGGTGTGCGTGTTAGATTCACTTTATTGTTCCCCTCCCCTAAGATCCTTCTGTGCTCTGACTCCATCCTTCCACGTATTTATTGCCCTCTCCAGCCTGCAGGGTCTGTGAACGTCACGAGAGTCCTGGGCCAGCTACTGCTACTGCATATCCTGCTGCCACCTTCCTCCCTCCCTACCGACAGATGCGAGGTCTGGTGCAACCCAAGCAATGGGCTCAATTTCAGCACACTGTCTCCCAGCATCCCTTGCAGCTAGGGGTGGTCATGTGACACAGTTCTAGCCAATGAGGTAAAAGCACAAGGCACGGGGTGGGCGCCCAGGTATGTTTATTAAGGAGGCTAGAGCCATGAGAAAGAATGATGGAGAAGAAGGAAGAGGAGCCTGGGGCTTGATGCCCTCGTGCAGGCCCTTCGCTGTGAGATACCACGGTCCTTGTGCATCGAAAACAACCCCGATTTGGTTCAGCCTCTGCCATCAGGGTTATGTTACATTTAGCAAACGCTATTCCTACCCCGCTGCAGACGCCACCTGTAATGTAATCTCATCGAGGTATTTGGGGGCAGGAAAAGGGACCTACACGGAACAGAGGTACGGCTAGAGCACTGCAGCCTATCTTTACAAAGCATCCTCCACTTTGTTTCATTCCCGGTTTGTTGAGCTATCCCTGACATACACCACTGGGCAATTTAAGGCGTACAAGCGTGACGAGTTATGTACATATATGGCTTTTACACTGATGTCTTACTTTGCAACATGTGTCCATAGGCAAGAGCTGCACCTCTGCTGAACTCTGTCTCCATGATTAGATCACTGAGGCTGTGTCTGCTGGGTAGGTGGTATGCATTCAGCACAGATCTGTAAAACCAAAAGGGGTCATGCAGTGATCAACGGCTCGTGGTACAGACAAGGGATGCCTTGTCCCAGCTCAGGCTCCCAGGAAGTCCTAGGGCCCGCGCTCATCCCATAGTCTCACACCCGGTGTTTGCTGCATTGCACACCCCGTTTGAGTAAAGTCATGCAAACATTCCTTCTGTCTTACACTCGGGCTTCAGGATCTCCTTTTACTTTACCCCCAATTTTATTATTAACTTTTAAAACACCCTCAGGCATTAATGCCGGACTAAAGAAAGTGTTTGTTTTCCAGGTGAGCACACTTTGTTCCCAGTACCCTGGTGTCCTGTCCACAGTCATAAAGAACCAGTGGTAGTAAGGCAGAAGGCTGAAGGCTTTTGTAGCTATAGGAAGAAGACTGATAAAGGGCCTCAAGTGCCCCCTTGAACTTGGGGTGGGTCACTCTGCCCTCCCGCCCCCTATTGTTGGGATCTCAGGAAAAATGGCTTTTCCCCAGTCATACCTGTCATGCGTCTAAGTGGAAGACAATCTGTGGATTTCTTGTACCACCCCGAAATGGGACGGTCCTGGCCCAAACATTTCCTTGATACTGAACAGCTCCCTAAGTCCGTCCACCTGCTGCACCTGTCGCATGACGGACACGGGGAGATGAGATACGGCATTTGCACCTGGCCAGCCATAAACGGCTTCTCAGTCGCACACGAAGGTTAACAGGCCCAATTCCCTTCCCTCCTTAGACCCAGAGTGTGAAAACATGAAAGAGAGCTGTAATTATTGATAAACAATAAAAACTTCTACAGCATGTGTAACAGGCATGGATTTCTTTGCCTGCCCAGAGAGGAAGCGGACCTTTTCCTGGTTGTTGACAAGGACGTGTCTCCTCGTCCCTGTGCCCTTTATTTATTTATCGTTTTTAAGATTTTTTTTTTTTTAAGTAAACTTTACACCCGACGTGGGGCTCGAACTCCCAGCCCCGAGATCAAGAGCCACGCCGACAGAACCAGCCAGGAGCCCCTCCGTTATTTCCTTAACATTCCAATTTAGACGGCAGGGCTGGTTTGTGTCAGAGACACAGGAGGGAACTCCTTGATGAGTGCTCTCTCAGCTAGCCAGTGATTCTGCCTTTCTCAAAGCAGGAACGTTTCTCTCCATAACTTTGCCTGGTTCTTTCTGTTGCATCTGCCCCCACCCCCCACAGCCAGGCTTTGCTCTCACAGCCCCTTTTTTGTGACCCAGCATTGATCCTGATACAGGACAAGTGGGGATCAGCTTGGGAAGCAGGGCAGAGCTGGGTGCGTTTCATGGAGTCCTCTCTGTAATTATGATTCAGGGGATCCTGGCGGGCTGAAAGCACAATTCAAATGAGTTTATAGACTTCTGCAGCCCGCTGTCATCTACTTAGCCACAATGTGGTAATTTGAGAGCATTAAAAAAAAAAAAAAAGACTCCATATTAGCAGATCATTTGAATGTGCCCCCCCTCTTTTTCCTCCACAAACCCTAAGGCTCTACACTTTTGTTACCAGTATGTTATATAAGCATGAATCATTCTGAGAACTGAGTAACTCCTTTGACCATGGGGAGTTCAGAGGCACACAAGGAACTTGAGCTGAAATGCAAACTTGCCATATTGGTGACACTTTCCACTCCTGTTTTCTACTAGTTTCTAAACTTTTCAAGTACGAGAGCCCATTTTTTACCCAATACTAGTCGTTTTGTTTTAGTCTCTGTTGATTGAGATTATCAAAAGCTGCCATGAAGGCAGCATATTTTGTATTTATTAATCATCACAACAGCCACTTACGAAAAACAGTACATCTATTCCAGCACATTCTTTATTCTGTCCTCGATAATACTTGGTATAAATATAGATTCCAGGACTCCTTAATGAAACTTCAAGGCTTCCCAGGGGTTCGAGGGCCAAATTATACAGTCACTCTTCGAAAGAGTGAATGACTGTTGCAGGAGGAATTTAGAGAGAGGGCTGTTAAAAGACTCTTGCAAACATTTGCAGAATAAGATCTTTGGTACGCCATGTTCCACAGGACGAACGAAGAGAATGCTAGGAAGCTAGCTCTTGAATTTCCAGCAATAACTTTAGGTGTTATGCTCCTGCAATTTAACCGACCTATGAGCACTGTCTTTTTTTTTTAATGGACCAATGTAATTAGATAAAAATTCATAATCAGCTCAAATATTTTTTATCTTCTTGGGGCACCTGGCTGGCTAAGTCAGTGAAGTGTGCAACTCTTGATCTCAGGGTTGGGGGTTTGAGCCCTATGTTGGGTGTAGAGCTTACTTTAGAAAAAAAAATTTTTTTTGGTATCTTTTATCTTCTTATAGTGCATAACCCTTAACCAGTATAATCACTGTACATTAACAACAGTGACTACACTTGAAAATCCCTGTTTAGTAAAACTAAGTTAAGTAAAATATGGACTACATGGGTGCCTGGGTGGCTCAGTCAGTTAAGCGACTGCCTTCGGCTCAGGTCATGATCCTGGAGTCCTGGGATCGAGTCCCACATCGGGCTCCCTACTCAGCGGGGGGTCTGCTTCTCCCTCTGACCCTCTTCCCTCTCGTACTCTCTGTCTCTCATTCTCTCTCTCAAATAAATAAATAAAATCTTTAAAAAAAAATTTAAAAAAAATATGGACTACATAATGCACAATCTGATTTAATTTTTATATGAGATTATTAACAAAATACTGAGCTATCATAGGTCATCTAAATCATGTTCTCGCCCTTTATTCAGACCTGGAAAATAATATTCAGGTCATTGGATATGTTTTAAAAAGTTATTTCTAGCTTCATTTTCCCTTTTGATTTGAGGCAAGCAATGGTTTCCACAAGAGTCTCCGATTCACATCTTCAAACAGAGTAGAATTCTAGTGTAAATTATAGTCCTTTCTTCTCTAAAAAAGTGCCAAGAAAAAAAACACACTGTATCTCATTTTTCAGTAATCCTCAACTGTTGATATTTCCTTCTGGGAGTCTACTCTTCCTGATGGAATTACATTCGGTTCGTAATCTAAAGAACCTATGTTTCACTGGGTGAGAAGAAATGAAAAGGATCAGCCCCACACCTAAGCCAAACTGTTCCCTGGATAATCCTCTCCAGATAGTAAACGTTAGAAAAAGCAAAGATAAACCTCACATGAGCAGCTCCAAGGCTGCACATCCCCAGGAGGAATACTTCGAGACTTCCTTGGGTGCCTAGTTACAAGAATGATCTGGTCCATGGTGACGAAAGATACACATTCCCACAAAGCGTTTATACAAGTTAAATAGTGACCCCCACCAAGCAGAGCAGGGGAGCTGATAACCTCTCCTAGTCAGGCTGCCCAGAGAGATCTTTGAAAGCCAAAGGGCAGATTCACATAAACTCAACTGCCCTGATAATACGCAGTGGACTTGCCAACATCTTATGGCTTCACACCTATGCAGACCTTCCAAAAGGGCAAAAATCAAAGGCTTCACTCTCAGTCCTGTTCTGTAGCACAGGGTTGCATTCTTCACAGAGTGTAATACCTTACTTCACCCCAAAGATGCCACCTCCCTCTCCCCAAGTCCACCACAGAGCCCGCTCTCCCTGGATTTGCATCCAGGTGCAAATTCGTACATGCGGTGGGAATCCTTCACCCAAATGCAAATCATTTTGCAAGATCAAAATTCTTTTGCTATGGACAGTAGGGGCCAGCCTCTAAGAAAATTTGCATTTTAACTGGTAATGTAGGTACAGCCATGGGTTAGAGAAATGAAGGGACAAAGAGATCATTACAAAAACAAATTAACAAACAAATGAGATATGAATATACTCTATTAACTGTCTGCATTTTTGAAACAGGAAGAGAGGAGAATTTAGAACGCTGAAACGCATCCAACTGAAAAGGGGCAAAAGGAATTTTAATGAGTTACAACACAACTTGAGATGCAGCCTGGATAATTAGAGTCTCCATTATTATAACTCAGTGGAAAACTGGCTTGATTTAGCCCCCTTTAGAAGATTGCTTGTAGTTTAAGACAGCAAAGTTAAAAAGAAAGCCAAGCTAATGTTAGAAACAGTTAAAAACATTTCCAGCCAAATATTTTTAAAGGACTTGCTAACATTTTAGGACACTGTTTTCTATATTAAATTTAAAAAAATGAAACCAGAAAATTTCCCCAAATTTAGTTCCAAAAAGTCCTGTGTTTGTTGGTTTCATTATATCATCCTCCATAATCCAAATATATTGACATTAAGAAACCAAGATATCCAGTCAGTGATCTGGATAAGCATAAGAGCAATAAAAGTAATTGATAGGAGAAATATCCCCCACAATTTGTGAGATAGAGTTATAAGTACCTTGACCATTGAGGGGATCCACCGTGAGGGCACAAACTTGGGCAATGACCCGTGTCACACACCCTTGTCCTTCCCACCAGACATGGACATTCACATCCCCAGGAGCATTAGAGATTAGACACTGGCCCTCTGAAGACCTGAGCCCCCTCTACACACAGGCTAGAAGTGGTTGAAGGCTCACCTGGAGATGGATCCCCTGAATCCAATATGCAGGACACAGTAAGATCAGCCCTAGCAACCATGGGGGAATGAAGGACACTAAGAGCATTTTCTCACTTCTAGGCTTTCCTGGGTGTGGTTAAAATTGGTCATGGACAATAATGAAGAGGATAACAAGTTTCTTTGAGCAAGTAAAGTCTCCCTGCCACTGTTTTTTTCTGCCAGGTCCCCACCCCAAGCTCAGTGCCTGACGTTTGACTTTTAAACCGTTGACGACAGGAGGGACCGTAGGCTAGATGAGCTGACAGACTCTACTCTATCATTACATGATAATCACATATGCGTCTCTCTTCCCTTTCATTCCCACCTTCCCCTCCTGCCTTCCTGGAACCAGAACAGAAGTGCGTGTGGATGCACACTTGAGTGAAGGTCCTAATCACGTCAGACTGGAATTGTAAAACTCTTCCTTACCACAAAATACACCAAAGGCTTATCTTTATGAAAAGAAAGAAAAAGCTTAGCCCACCCTTACCTCCTTAATCCTTCTCCAGTCTAGCCCTAAAACTTACTCTCCGAGTGTCACAGGGAGCCAACAGTTTGGCTTCTAAAAACTGTGCTTTCTTAGCGCTTGCTTTAAAAAACACGGCACTTTCTATTTTCCCATCCAGTCCTTCCCCAAGGTCAATACCTGACTCAAAATTCAATTTTATTCCAAGCTCTGTTACCACTATTGTAGGATATGGTTTGTGTAGGAAGTACTAAACTCAAGGTCAGGTGTGTATTAAATATTCAATAGAAGTTCTTTACCTTCCCACCCCTTATACTTTTTAAAAAATATTTTATTTATTTATTTATTTATTTATTTATTTGAGAGAGAGCTAGCACAAGCTGGGAGAGAGGGAGTGGAGAAAGCAGACTCGCCGTTGAGCAGGGAGCCCAATGCAGGGCTCAATGCCAGGACCCCAGGATCATAACTGGAGCCGAAGGCAGACACTGAACCGACTGAGCCACCCAGGCGCCCCCCGCCGCTATATTTAAAGCTAAATGGAGACTGGGTGTAGCTTACGTTCTATGCTATCCAGTCCACTGAGGAAGCTCCAACCATTTGAATGCTAAGCCTCCTCATCTTCCACATGATTTTACCCTTATTCATAGTTTCTGGTATATCTAATACTATTGCTCATTCTGCGGTTCATTCAGCAGACAGCTTGCGGTGCCCGTTAGAGTGCTATGAACAGCACCGTAGTGAGATGGGACGAAGGCAGACTTGTGGTTGACAGAGCAGGCTAGCGAGGAGTGCAGACTCAGGGATCGTCGTGAGCAAATTATTTCTATGCTGTTTCTCTGTTTCCTCATCTTTAAACTGGGGGTAATCAGAGTCTCTACCTCATAGGGTGGTAGTGAGTAATAAATGGGGCGGATCCTGTGAAGTGCACAGAGTGATGTCTGACACACAGTAAGCATGTGTTAAGTGATCACTATCTGGATGTCCCCAGGTGCTAGTAGAGGGCTTCGTAACCAGGGGTCCATGGACTTCTAAGGTCCACGGGTGGATTTAGAGGCTCCCAGAACTCCTTGAAATCATTTGCAAAATTCAGAGTTGTTCATCTAGAGAGCGAGTTTATAGTTTTCATCAGATTCTCAAAGGGGTGTGTGAAGCAGAACAGGGTTAGGATGCCCTGAACTAGGGGATACAGAGGCACAAGACAGGAATTTTGCCCTCAGAGACCTCCCAATCTGGAAGAGGAGACGGACATTCAGTGACGAGAAACTACGACGGCAGTTCCGTAGAAATGGCCAGGATGCAATGGGACGCAGAGAAGAGCCCCCGAGGGGGGTGATGCAACAAAGCCCCCCCCCAGAATAGGTGACATTTAAGAGCAGTACTGAGGGTGAGGTAGCCAGATGAAACAGCGGAGTAAGAGCGTGCCAGGGATAGTGAGAGTCATAGGCAAAGGGAGGAGCTGCTGTGCTCTAGTTAGGAAAGAGCAAATGGTTGAGTGTGCATGGGCCAAGAGGAAACACCAGCGGTCAGGACGCTAGAGGCGGTTGGGAGCCTAGTGCGTCGAGCCACAAAGTGAACCAGTCAGTGCCCCAACATAGGCACTGGTCTCAGGTGGGGAATGAGTGGTAAGCCCAGGTCCTTCCTTATGTATACACCAGAAGCTCATGGATCTGTCAATTAGTTATTGCAAATACGCACTGAGAGATGTTCCCTAGCATATACCTAAAGCATCTTTTTTTTAAGATTTTATTTTTTATTATTATGTTATGTTAATCACCATACATCACATCATTAGTTTTTGATGTAGTGTTCCATGATTCATTGTTTGCATATAACGCCCAGTGCTCCATGCAGAACGTGCCCTCTTTAATACCCGTCACCAGGCTAACCCATCCCCCCACCCCAACCTAAAGCATCTTATTCCTACCATCCATGACTATCGGTTGTGGTTAGTGATTTTCATGTCAGAATTAGGAAAATCTACTGAGGAAAAAAAAAAAGGCAAATTTGAAAGCTAACTTATTTATGAAAAGGCATTTCCAATTCAATTTCAATTTGTTCCTGAAATCCAGTTGGAATGACCGAAGTCTTCCTTGTGCATGCAACTGAAAGGAGATCTATGATCATTTCAGTGGTAGTGACTAGTTTTACATATCCTATAGCTAAACATAATCGATTTTGTAGCTTCCTAATGATCTGCCCTGAGGAGTTATTACTCCTGATGGCAATTAATCAAAATTAAAACAGACTGCATAGAATGAAGCAAATTCAAACATCCAGTCTCAGTTAGGAACACCTGCACATTAAGATTAATCATGGGCCCTACTTGAATGTGACAGGTGTATCAATATTATAGAGAAAAGAGAAAGCAAACATTTTCCAGAAGAGTACCAAGTGTATTTCCAAGGAGCAAAGGCTCTGAACCTGAGTCAATGTTGAATCCAAACCACCCAAAATCCATAGTTGCCCATTACCTTAGAATTAAAATTATTTTCTTCCTGAAAGTTTAGATATTTGTGGCAATCTGCATTACTAAACATGAAATGCAGGGAGCAGTCACAGTGAAACGGAGGAACAAAAGTTTTCCACTGTCTTCCCCCACCAGAAAAACTCTACCAGTTTTGACCATCACCCAGAAATGAGGGTGCTTTGTGGATGTCCAGGAGTCCAACAGAGAAGTTCCAACACACTGTTGGAGGAAAATCCAAGATTGGACACATTGAAGAGGATGAGAACAGTTTCACTCTACCCATCACCCTCCCCCACAGTGGCACAGCTCAGCAATGAGAGAGCTTGTTTGCCAGTGACTTCTTCACAGGGAAAGTGGGGGCATGTCCCTGTGTGCCTGGCCTCCCCAGCTAGGCAGGATGCTGCCAAAGAGGCCCCATTCCTTCTTGCCCCATCCAGAATACTGAGATGTGCTACATGACTGAAGGGTCAGGAGGAGCTGGGAGAACAGCAACCAGGGCTCTTGGAGGGCAGAAGTGATGCAGATCCTGTTATGTGGACCCCATCAAGAAGCCCTACCATGAACCACTGGGGATGCCTCACCTGTGCGTCCCCCCAACTGGCCTACAGGCACCCTCAACACTCTGCAGCCTACCCTCAGCCACCCCTCCAACCACCACCACCCTGTGGCCAGCTCCTTGTTCACACTGCCATGGTCAATGAGTGCAAGTCTTTGCAGAGAGCTAGTGAGCACGTGCAGAAAGCCAGCCCAAATCTTCAGGATTGGGAAAAAGCACATAAACGTCAGCATTCAGCACTGCCCTGGGGAAGGCAAATGGGAGGCTGTCAGCAGTCAGCTGGGCTTTGCAGGATCAGGAGAAAGAATGTGATCTTAAAAATCATCACCCACCCAACAAGAGAGAACAAGAAGTGTGGAGCATATGTATCCATAGAAAATGTCTGAGAGAGTCTTAGAATGCTTAGCAGGGCTGGCAGAAAGGATTTCTCTCCCATTGACAATCAGTAGAGAATGCAGGTGATTCCCTCTTCAAATGTGAAGATAGCAACACAAGACCAAGGAACATGAAAAATCAAGGAAACATGACACCACCCAATGAACACAGTAATTTTCCAGTAACCAACCCTAAAGAAATGGAGATCTGCAATTTGCTCAATAAAAGAATTCAAACAGTTTTTTTGAGGAAGTTCAGTGAGCTACAAGAAAACACAGAAAGACAATTCAATGAACTCAAGAAAACAATATGCAAGCAAAATGAGACATTTAACAGAGACACAGAAATCAAAACAAGAGAGAGAGACAAAGTCTGGAGCTGAAGAATACAATGAATAAAATGAAAAATGCAATAGAGAGCATGAACAGCAGACTTGGTCAAGCAAAAGAGAGAAGCTGTGAAGTCAAAGATAGGTTATTTGGAATTATCAAGTCAGAGGAGAACAAGGAAAAAAGAATGAAAAAGAGTGAATAGAGGGGCACCTGGGTGGCTTAGTTGGTTAAGCTTCTCCCTTCAGCTCAGGTCATGATCTCAGGGTCCTGGGATGGAGCCCCGCATCCATTGAGCTTCCTGCTCAGTGGGGAGTCTGCTTCTCCCTCTGCCCCTCCCCCGCCATGCTCTTTATCTCTTGTGCTCTCAAATAAATAAAATCTTAAAAAAAAAAAAAAAGGAGTGAAGAGAGCTTATGTGAATCATAGAACACCATCAAGAAAAACAATCTATGATCACTGGAGTACCAGAAAGAGAAGGGAGGAAAAGGGGCAGAAAAATTATTTAAAGAAATAATGGCTGAGAAGTTCCCAAATGGCAAGAAATTTGGACATCCAAATTTATGAAGCTCATAGGTCCCCAGAGACATTCAACTCAAAAAGATTTTCTCCAAGACAGATTATAATAAAACTATCTAAAATCAAAGAGAATTTTAAAATCAGCAAAGACAAGCACACAAACCTCATAAACAAGGGAGCCCCCATAAGGCTGTCAGAAGATTTCTCAGCAGAAGCCTTGCAGGTCAGGAGAGAAGGAGATGAAAAATAAAATTGCCAATCAAGAATATTTTACTCAGAAAAGCTGTCCTTCAGATATGAAGGAGAGATAAAGACCTTCCCAGACAAACACAAGCTAAGGGAGTTCATCACCACTAGACCTACCTTATAAGAAATACTGAGAGATGTCTTCAAGCTGAAATGAAAGGACACTAATTAATAACCTGAAAATATATTAAAATATACATTGGTAAAGGTAACTATACAGTCAAATTCAGAATAGTCTAATATTATAATATGATAGTGTGTCAATCACTTAATTCCAGTATAAAGGTGAAAGGACAAAAGTATCAAAGCTTATGTCTGTTAAAGCACAAAAATATTAAAGCTTATAATTGTTGTAGCTTATAGCTACAATAATTTGTTAATGGATACACACTATAAAAAAGATATAAATTGTGACATCAAAACCAAAAAATGAGGGGGAATGAAAGAGTAGAGTTTTTGTATGCAACCAAATTTATTTTTTTAATTTTTTTAAGATGTATTTATTTATTTATTTGAGAGAGAGAGACAGCATGAATGGGGGGAGGATCAGAGGGAGAGGGAGAAGCAGGATCCCTGCTGAGCAGGGAGCCCGATTCGGGGCTCGATCCCAGGATCCCAGGATCATGACCTGAGCCAAAGGCAGACGCTTATCTGACTGAGCCACCCAGGTGCCCCACAATCAAATTTAAGTTTCTATCTTTCCTCTCCAACTTGAGCCCAGCAGAATGGCTCCTGCAAAGAAGGGTGGCAAGAAGAAGAAGAGCCATTCTGCCATCAATGAGGTAGTGATGAGAGAATACACCATCAATATCCACAAGCACATCCATGGAGTGGGTTTCAAGAAGCATGCCCCAAAGAGATCCAGAAATTTGCCATGAAGGAGATGGGAATTCCAGATGTGCACACTGACACCAGGCTCCACAAAGCTGTCTGGGCCAAAGGAATAAGGAATGGTCCATACTATATCCATGTGTCGTTGTCCAGAAAATGTAACTAGGATGAAGATTCACCAAACAAGCTCTATACTTTGGTTACCTGTGTACCTGTAACCATTTTCAAAAATCTACAGACAGTAGGGGCACCTGGGTGGCTCAGTCATTAGGCGTCTGCCTTCGGCTCAGGTCATGATCCCAGGGTCCTGGGATCAAGCCCCACATCGGCTCCCTACTCAACGGGAAGCCTGCTTCTCCCTCTCCCACTCCCCTTGCTTGTGTTCCCTCTCTCACCATGTCTCTTTCTGTCAAATAAATAAATAAAATCTTAAAAAAAAAAAATCTACAGACAGTTAATGTGGATGAGAACTAATCGCTGACTGTCAAATAAAGATATAAAACTGCAGGGGCGCCTGGGTGGCTGTTGTTAAGTGTCTGCCTTCGGCTCAGGTCATGGTCCCGGGGTCCTGGGATCGAGCTCCACATCAGGCTCCCTGCTCAACAGGAAGCCTGCTTCTCCCTCTCCCACTCCCCCTGCTTGTGTTCCCTCTCTCACCATGTCTCTTTCTGTGAAATAAATAAATAAAATCTTTAAAAAAAGATATAAAACTGAAAAAAAAATTTAAGTTGCTATCAGCTTAAAAATAGACTGTTAGAATGATAAGATGTTATGTAAACCTCATAGTAACCAGAAAGCAAAAACCTGTAATAGATACATAAAGGTAAACAGAAGGGAATCAAAGCGTACCACTATGGAAAATCATCAATTCACAAAGAAAGCAAGAAAGAAAGGTTCCAAAGAACTACAAAAACAGCCAGAAAAAAATCAACAAGATGGCATTAGTAAGCCCTTACTTATTGATAATTACATTAAATGTAAATGGATTTAATTCTCCAATCAAAAGACATACAGTAGCTAAATGGGTTAAAAAAAAAAGACCCCAACTATCTGCTGCCTACAAGACACTCACTTCTGCTTTAAGGAAACACACAGGTTCAAAGTGAAGTGAAGGGTTGGAAAAAAACATTCCATGCAAATGAAAACCTAAAGAGACCAGAAATAGCTCTATTTGTATCAGACAAAATAGACTCTAAGTCAAAACTGTAATAAGACAAAAGTAGGTCATTATATAATATTAAAGGGATCAATTCATCAAGAGCAACAATTATAACAACTGTAAATATATATGTACCCAACACTGGAACACCTAAATATATGAAACAAATACCAATATAACTGAAGAGAGAAATAAAAAACAATACAATACTAGTAGGGGAATTCAATACACCACTTTCAATACTGGACAGATCATCCAGGCAGAAAATCAATAAGGAAACATTGGGTCAAATGAGAAATCAAAAGGGAAATCAAAAATACCTTGAAATACATGAAAATGGAAACACAACTTACCAAAACTGATGAGATGCAGTAAAACAGTTCTAAGAGGGAAATTTACAGCAATAAACACCTACAGTAAGAAAAAGAAAGATCTCAAATAATCAACCTAACTTTATACCTTAAGGAACTAGAAGAGAAGAAGAAACCCCAAAGTTAGCAGAAAGAAGAAAATACAAAGATCAGAGCAGAAATGAATGACAGAGAGACCAGAAAAATCATAGAAAAGATGTACAAAATTAAGGGGCACCCACCTGGGTGGCTCAGTCGTTAAGCATCTGCCATGCTCAGGTCATGATCCCAGGGTCATGGGATTGAGCCCCGCATCGGGCTTCCTGCTCTGCGGGAAGCCTGCTTCTCTCTCTCCCACTCCCCCTGCTTGTCTTCCCTCTTTTGCTGTCTCTGTCTGTCTGTGAAATAAATAAATAAATAATCTTAAAAAAAAATTAAGAGCTGATTTCTTGTAAAGATAAACAAAGCTGACAAACCTTTAGCTAGACTAACTATAACATAGAGCTACAATCTAGGAGCACAACAATAACAAAGATGGGGAGAGAAAAGGAAAGGAAAAGAAGAGAAAGACAAATACAATGTTCCTATCCTGAGAGAGTCTACGGTCTGGTGAAGAATACAGCTGAGTGCACAAGTACTTCCTGTACAGAGTGAGAAGTGCTTTAACAGGGAAATGACAGGGTGCTCCTTTTAATAGGGCTCTGGAATTCTCGAGGACAGCTTCTCAATTCTAAGTTGACACCTGAAAAGTTGACTTTTTGATTTTATCAGATTTGCATATTTGGAAGATCACTGCTGGAAGGAAGAGGAAGGATTGAAGGGGGACAATACTGAAGGGAGCAGGTAGGAGGCCACTGCAGTGACCCAGGCTAGAGATGATGGCAGGTGGCACCAGGCTAGTGGCAGTGGGGCGGGAGAGAAGTGGTAAGCTTCTCAAGACTATTGTGAAGTAAAATTAATAGAATTTGGTAATTGACTGGAAGAAGAAAAGAAAGGAGTAGAAAGAGGGATGATACCTTTCTTTGGTTTCCTCCAGAAACAGACCTCAAGGCAAGGATTCAAGAGCAAGTAGTTCATTTGAGAACAGAGAATATGGGTAGGAAAGAGAAGAAGTGATACGGAGAAGTAAAAGTAGCCAGGAAAGAATGCTTTATCAAGCCAACTGTACCATGAATTCATGGACAAATCCTAGGAAATGATATAAAACGGGGGTGCCTGGGTGGCTCAGTCAGTTAGATGTCTGCCTTGGGCTCAGGTCCTGATCCCAGGATCCTGGGATCAAGCCCCACATTGGGCTCCTTGCTCAGTGAGAGCCTGCTTCTCCCTCTGTCTGCTGCTCCCCTACTTGTGCTCTCCCTCTCTCTGACAAAGAAATAAATAAAATCTTAAAAAGAAATGATATAAAACAAATGCCTCAGAGTTATCCCAGCCAAGAGGTTGGGGAGCTGGGGAATTTATAAACCAATTCCCATGAGTCATTGACCCAACATTTCCAGCCTACCATGCTCAAAGCAGAACAGTTTCTATTGCTTTCTAAAAGGTTTGCTTTCCTCACAAAAAACAAAACAACAAAAAACCCCACACAAATACAGGCCACTGGAAACTAGGAGGAGCACCTGGAGTGGTAAGGCCCAAATGATATGGGCTACAGATGACACCCAGTCTCTGGTGGGGGTAAATGGGGTCAGGGTTCAATGAGATGGGAAACCCAGGGGTTAACACAAGATAGAGGGGTGTTGGGGAGTAGAGAGGATGAGTTGAATTTTTGACATGGTGCATTTGAAGGGCCCACAGGACATCTGAGGCAAGTTGTCCGGTAGATGGCTGGTTATGTGAATAGGAGTCTGTGGGGAGCAATCTAATCCAAAGTTACAGATCGTGAATTGTCATCACGTGAATTCATGAGTGTGGCAGAAATCTCATGGGAAATTGCATGGAGTGAGGAACAAAGATGGCCAAGGGCAGACACTAAACATATTTATAGGGCAGTGAGAGGAAGAGAAACCAGCAGAGAAGAATGAGAAGACACATCAGCGAGTTATAAGGAAAACCAGAAGTTCTAGGTGTCTGGAAGCCAACAAGTAGAAAGCAAAAAATGTGTCACGTGCTACTGAGAAAGCAAGAGAAGTAAAAGACAAGAAGATGTTCTTAGATTCAGCTACAAGCAAGTCTTTAACGATCAGAACAGTAGGTAAAGAGATTCCACTGGATCTAAGAATGCATGTGCGAGAGTAGGTGTAGGTCACAAATACAGATAACTCAAGAAGTTTACCTGAAATAAAGAAGAGCTAGAGAGAATAAAAACTGAAGGTAAGTACCTGTAAAAGACCACATAAATAAAGCATATTGTAATGAGTTTTTAAAAACAAAGGTGAATATCAAGTTAAGGGAGGACTTCCAGGTGAAAGAAGGATTGTTTCTTAATGGAAAATGGAAGACTCTTAAAATGTTGCTGGGAAAGAGCAAATGAAGGAGATGGAGATAAAGATGCAGGAGAAATGCTAGAAAGGCATAGAAATCTTTAGAGGACAGAAAGAGATTGAATCCAGAGAGGGGGGCGGGAGGGGTGGGAAGCAGCTTCTGACCTGGAATAGACTTAGCTTCCTTTGTCACAAGTGGAAAAGAGAACACGGCGGGTCCCCATTAAGACTAATTTGTAAATTTGGTGGCATGAAATTAGAAAAGTACCTGTGTATTTTCTCCGTGAATTAAGAAGTGAAGAGAAAGGTGTGAGTGAGGGGAAATCGGTGATGCCACAGTTGAAGGTGCTTGTGGGTGGAATGAAGCGTCTCTGGAGAGAACTGAGAGCAAGGTGGCGAGGTAAACTGTGCTCAGTGGCCGAGACTAAAGAGCTGGACTTACTCAAGACTGGGTTTCAACAGTTGAGTGAACGAGAACGAAGATCGGGCAAGAGAGTTGCAAGGTATGTAAGTGAAGACAACAGAAAATCTAAGCAGGGTAGGGGAAGAATTAAAGACAAGGGAAATGATTGATAGCAGACGTTCACAGGAATGGTGTTCCAGCTTCCACTCAGGGCATTCGATTTCCAGGGTTTGAGGTAAGGGGAGAGCATGCTACAAGGGAGGAACCTGTGTAAATGGATGAAAGGTGACAGACACTGATTAATTTGCCAGAAGAGAAAGATAAAGCAGGAGCTGACTCAGAAACACAGCAGGAGGGAAGAAAAGCCAGGCAGCCATGGTGGTCATGGGATATGGCTGGGCCAGAGTCTAACGAAAGAGTTAATTCAGTGATCATGGTCTGTCCACTGTTGGTGTCCCTCTGTTACGGGTTGAACTGTGTCCTCCAAAAAGATACACTGAAGACCTAATCCCTGGTTCCTGTCAGTGTGTCCTTGTTTGGAAATAGGGTCTTTGCAGACATAATGAAGTCAAGAAGAGGTCATCTGGGTGGGCCCTTTGCCAATATGACTGGTGTCTTTATAAAAAGAGAAGAGACCACGTTCTGCATGGAGCACTGGGTATTCTACGCAAACAATGAATCATGAAACACTGCATCAAAAACTAATATCATGTATGGTGATTAACATAACATAATAAAAATGTTTTTTTTTTTAAAGAGAGAAGAGACATAGATAAAGACACACAGGGAGAACACGACGTGGCAATGGAGGCAGAGACTGGAGTCTCTGGTGGAGCGACACCAGAAGCGAAGAGAAAGGCACAGAACAGATTCTCCTAGAGCCTTCAGACAGAGTATGGCCTTGCTGACACATTGATTATAGATTTCCAGCATCCAGAACCATGAGAGAGAACAGATTTC